GAAATAGTCAATACCAAGCTGTATTTTCTTCTTATCTTAAAAGAAAAAAAAAAGAACAAAAGGAATTAGATTGCTTTAGACTAGGAAAAAATCTCCCTTGTATGTCAAGTGGATGAAATTAACATGAACAAAAATGGATGGAGTTACAGGTGAATAAGTTCTTGTATTGTTGAGGTTAGTTTTAGACAGTGCCTTATGAGAAATGTAAAATGATAAAGCAGCTTAGGTACAGTTATTGACAACGAGGGAAAGAATTCCACAAATTTGAAAAGGAGTTTTACTTTATGAAATAAAAATTAATTTTATTTTTAATATTTATTCAAAGACTGAGTCATGCTTGTAGGTGTTTTGAGATGATCAGAAAACAGAAATGGAATTCAATCTCTGCCTGGCAAAAAGTGTACCAGAAAATAGTGAGATGTGCTGATTTGTTGAAGAACATATCTGTGTATGTAGCAGCTGTGAAAGTTCAATATGTTTTGAATATTTCAGAGCTCTTACTTTGTCTTTACTTTCACCTGAGATGCTAATGTGTTTACTTTTTTTAACTTCTGCACTATGGAAAAAATCATGAAATATTATTGATCAAACATATCTAATCTGATTTTGATCTATTAAGTTATGGAGTTAACTGTCTTTTCATTTGACTTTACTATGGAGTTTTTATTTGGAAGTCTCTTTTCTGGCTCAAAAATTAGAGCTAAAAAATAACCCACCGAGTATTATGATACTGACACTAGAAGCATCTGTTTGTTTGAAAAATAAAGGTATTTGTTTAAAAAATAAAGCTACATTCATTTATAATATCAAGCTGTTGTAATATCAACTCTACTGTTTTTTGATCATATGAGGATTGTGTGAAGGCTTGAATTTCTTTCACTGGAATAAAAAAATTAAAAATAATAAAATTGCTCAACTTTTTTTAAAAGTAAATGAACCTTACTAAACAGCATCTAAATTTAGAGCTGACTCTTACTCTATCACAAAAGCTTTTGGAGGCTGGAAACTGCTGAAGTCTTCTGTCCTAAATTTTCAACTCTGAAGCTTTTTACTGTGATTTTGAAATTTCACTATTATCCTGTTGCATGGAGACACAAAAACGAATTAAAATGATGCAGTTGTCTTAAGCTGTTCCTTTTGGGCTAGCTCTAGTCTTTCGGTGAGACGTGCAACAGTACATGAAATAGTTGATTAGATATTTCAGTTGTGTACTGATGACCTAGCAAGGAAGCTGTCAAAATAAAAGCTTGATTTCAGAGCTGTGAAGTAAATTAGTCTTTCTCCTGTTAAATACTTTTGAGGAGTTTTGCTGAATAAAAACAATTCTGTCTGTATACCGGCATGGTTCGTGTGTTTTTGCAATGCAATGTTGAATGTTAAAAATTGAACAGGACTTGTCCTTGTCTGAAACAAGGATTACTAACTAGGTGAATTATTCCATAAACTCCATTATTATGTGTAGTGTTGGAGGAAGGCTCCTGGAGAGCTGTGGAAGAGGCAGTAGAAACTTTCTCTGCAAACTTTTGGAAGGCGTGAAGAGATTAACTCTGCTGTTGCGTTAATAGAAGTACCAAAAGTGTAGGACCTTGGGCTGATTGGAGGTATGTGAACCAAGAAGCTTGAGGAACTAGCAAAACTGAAAACATGTATTGTGTGAAAGCAGTAGGAACTTGGTTAAATTTTATATAGTTTAGGGTCAAACCAGGGGGTGTTTTTTTTTACCATCTTCTTATTTCGTGGGCTCTTTTTCTCCCTAGCTCCTGTGCTTCCTGTAGAATTGGAGAAAAATAGTGTGCTGATACTAGAACTGACATGGGATCTTGTAGTTAAACTATATATGGTAATACATATGGTACCTCCGGGAGCAGTTAAGGTTGCATGTTTCATTTAACTTTAACTTCCTGACTCTGGAATGTTCTATTTAGCAGCTTTAATGTTCTCTTCATAGGTTTATTTAATAGTAAGCCTGGAACATTAACAAGGAATATACTAGCTAGTAAGCTTTTATTTTAAAAGGTGACTTGCTTGTTTGAAAGTGAACATTGCTATGACATACACCCCAAAATGTGTAAACTTGCATGCTGTTTAAGTGGTGCTGCTGCAGGCTCAGTCATCTGAGGTATGTCTGAATGAAGGTGCTTAAATGAGATGCATAGTCTTTGAACCCCCTCTTATATAGGATCTTTGTTTTTATTACCGTTGAACAGGGTCTGTGTTATGTGGCATATAGTGCCTAGTAGTGTTAACCGCAATGTTTTTAAACACTTAGAGATGTGTAGATACAATCCAGCTCTGTGATCTAGAGATGTGTTTCTAGGTGTAGCCTTTTAACTGGTGTATCATTCCCTGCATAAGAATTTGAATTTTAGCAGTCTACTAATAAAATAATAAAACACTAATAAAACTGGCTTTGAGTAGGATGTTCTTATGTCCTGTTGAGTGAGGCCCTGCAAGAAGTTAAATGTTCAAGCTATAAAATTTCATGGTATTTTAAAATTGTTACCCACCTGGCGCTCTCAAGTGAATGTGTTTTTTCACCAATAAATGTGAAAGAAACGGTGTGATGCATGTATGGTCTTTGATAATGGTGTAATCTAAAGAACCGACACTTATCTCCAAGACACTGGAGAAGGGGAAATATGGCACAGTTTTGGTTATGTAGCTGAAAAAGATTCAATGAAATTATTTTGTGGCCTTGTAGGATTATCCTTTTGGCTCATAGCTGATGTTGCAGTACTCTTAGGTTATGAATACTGAATCTAGGAAAAAGATAAAGAGGATTTAAAATAAAATTTCTCTAATGAAGAGTAAGGAAAACATACTGCTATGAAGTAAAATCATCTTTGCTTATTGAATAATTCATGTTCTATCTGGATGGTATATGAACTTGGAACAATAGCAGCAAAGCTGCTGATTATACTGATTGTATAATGGAGCAGAGTGGAGGACAGTATAGCCTGAGTATTTTTTAACTCAGTGGTTTATACATTCTGTATATAATGTTGCAGTGCTTTAAGTGTCCTTTCTTTAAATATTTTTTCTTTGTGCTCATAACTGATCAGGTCATGTGAAAATTGCCACCTGTTTGTTGGGGGTGGGGTGGGAAGCTGGAGAACACTTTAGTTTTCTTATAGTATGGATTTCCTTGGAAGTGAGACTTGCTCATTTATGGTTTGTGTATCCAATTCAGATAAAAAGTTCAATGTTTTAAGTTCTTTAGGATTATACAACTGTGCAACATGAATTTAACTACACAATTTAATTTACAAATATGTTGGTGAATTGCAAGATCACTTTTGCTTTACGCATCTGTAGAGCTCCATTGCAACTTATGGAGTTCCTCTGTATAGAACTTAGCAGAGAGTGCAAAAGAAGCATTTCAAATAAGCTGAATTTTCAGAGTTGGAATCTCCTTGTCTCTTAACTAAGTAAGCTTTAGGTGCAAATCATCAATGTGCAAAATATGATTCTGTAGAGTAAAAATGTCCTTTCAAGGAATACAGGTGTCTGTCATGTTCAAATATCACAAAATACTCATCTAGCTTTTGGGAGAGGACTTTAGGGAGTGCTTCATGTAGTTCTTATCTTGGCTTTAGTGAGCAAGTACGTAAACACCTATTGTACTGTGGAAAGAACACTACTGAAGTTAGAAGGTCAAGTGTGTACAAGCTTGGAAACGATAATGTGTGTAGGTGAAATATGGCATGGTAATTTCGTGCAGTGGAGCGCTGAGTAAACTGGGAGTAACTACAGTAGTTCCAGAATCAGAACCAGTATAGGGCAGTGCATTGGTGAATCTGAGGTAATAAGCTGCCTCTCATGGATTCATACTTCAACTGAGATAAAACCAGTGCTGGCAAAAGTAGTTCATTCTCTGTGTACCCAGTAAATGCTGTGTCCTCGTATGGTTCTTCATTACAAATTGGGATGGTGCTTTGGGTGGATGTTACTGCAGTTCTGTGGATAAGTTGATATTGGGTTGATTTGACTGTGTGGTCTAGAGCTAGCCTAGTGTATTGACAGGGACCACTAACCTGACTGTCTTTTGTCATCACTAATTTTTCACTTGTCTAAAATTGAATCCTAGAACAGTTTTATTCTTCTGCAAGTGTGTAGAGTATCAGAGTGCTTTCTGTCAAATGAAATGTGTAACTAGCTATCATCTTCACTTTCCCTTGCGTTCTTCACTGCTCCTTTTCCTACTTCTCAGGCAGTTTCTCTACAGTGCTTGGGAATATCTATCCAGTTCCATCAAATAAAACCTCTTTTAGCTAATGGCAGTTCTGCATCTTAAATTAACTGCTTTCTTCCTGGTCTTCCAGTTTCATTTCACTGTTTATTCTCAACCTATATGAACTGAAGATCTAATTAAGTTCTAGTTTCTTTTCCTACTATGTAATAGCATTTTGTCTTTTTTCTTAGCTTCCTTGGCCTTCTCTTCTGCCTCATACTTCTACATAAATAACTTCAGTCCTATGACATTGTTTTGCTAACTTGGCTTTCGTTGTGTTTACCACTGTACTGTTATAATATATTTTTTGAGCACTTATTTAAATCTTAGCTGTATTCTGTCTAGCTGAAATTTATTGGTCAAGTTTTTATACTTCATGTTTTTTATAAACAGAATGCTCATTTATGAGACTAATAGAACAGGAAAGCAAACTGGGAATTGGGGAAGAGGGGAACGTGCTGTATGGGCAGAGTACATGTAAAGGCAACATAGACCATGTAACTAATGTAGCAAGAAAAGGGGTATACAAATAATTTAGAGCACTTACACTGTGCGTGTTTTTCTTTGCCTTAGTTGATATGTGCTTTTGCATGGTGTCTGACTTCTGAACCTTATAAATTATCTTGAGTCTTTGAACCAGTTAGCCAGTGGGCTCCTATTTAACATTTTAGGAAAACTAATGCTATTAACCCTTTATATACTTTACTTGCATTCTGTATCAGAAGTACTAGAACGCCCAAGTTGATTCATACATATCTCTTTGCCTTCTAGTGCTTTCCCTTTAAAACGTGAGCATTATGGTGAAGAAAAGATATTGGCATGAACAATATAACTCTTTCAGAGGTAAGTATAATGAAAAAAACCTAACCAAACAAAAGAATGAATGCCACTTTCCAAGGCAAGTATTTCATAATGTTGTACAGCAGCTTGTGTGCTTTAAAGATCTAAATGCTCTGTTCATGTCAAATTAGGTGCACATTTTTTTATTAGGAAATGTTATGAAGAGAATGTTTGTGTCCTGGACAAACTGATAGGAATGTTTGTCTTCCTTTGGACAAGTAATGTATTAAATGTACAAGGCTTCCTGTGTCCCTTTAGCAGGAATCTGATAGAAGGTATTAATTTATTTAAATAAGCGTACCTGTAATGTAACTGTAATAGCTGTTGGTTCAAAGCAGAAAAGGCAAGTGCATAAACTGCCATATAATAGATTCATCTCTGAAGACAAAAATGTATGTGTTGATGAATTGGCTTCATGCATTATTTCCATATGTTTCAGTAAAAACGCTCCCTAAAGCATTACTGTGTTACTTCATCATCATGGGAGAGTATTTTAACTTTTAGGAATGTATTCAGTAATGTTTGTTCATTACTCTATTTTGTTTCTTTTTATTAGTGGCTTTTCTTGCTTTGCGGTTTGGTGTCAAAATGCTAGTACTGTTTACAAAAGTAACATTGAATAAATGCTCAAGTTTATCTGTATCCTTTGAACACAAGGTAACTTTTTGATTGTATTTTTAGTCTTTAAGGTGATGTCTGGCTGACCTCTTGTTTTGGGTCTGTGTGCGGATATGAAAGTTCCAGAAGTAATCGTTTCTTAAACTGAAGAGTTCTTGCTAGGGTATTTGTAATAGAATTGCTTGCTTCTTTAAGGTTACTTACCTGTACTCACCGAACATAGTGGTTGGAATTTCACGAACTTGAAAGATAGGACTGTTGCTTTTGTAAGGCAGGGGCAAGAAATGGAATTAATTTGTAATAAATGCTGAAGTACTAAGTTCAACTCCTTAATTTGGATATTATTCAGAAAAGGCGTGGAGGTAGTTATGACATGAGTTAAAAAACAGGCCATGATGTGACCTGAGCAGGGAGTAAAAACTGCTTGCATGCTGTTTGGAAGCTGTATGAATACTGAAAAGCACCATTTTGGATCTCTTGAATTCCTTCAAGTAGGAAACTCCATTGCGCTCCCTACAAAGAAGATACGAGGAACAAGCCAGGATAAATAGGGTGGCAGAGCCTTATGATGTCTAGCATAGTGACAATCTCTTCTCTTACTGTTTTGTGTTCCTTTGGTCTTGGTCTTTCTCCCCTTAGTTCTGTTCTAGATGACACATCACATCAGTTGCAAGGGTTTTTTTCTGAAAAAGAGAAAAAATTTCAAGAACTGTGTTTATGAGAAACAGCCTTGCTTGTTGTAGGCTATTCCTCAACAAACTTAGATGTAATCTGTGAAAATAATGTTTTGATTACTCATTGGAGAATCTGTATAAATTAAATTTTTTATCAGGTAGGATGGCATGGATTTGGGGTGGATGTTATCATTTTCGGTAATTATTATTTTTGCAAATGCACAAGAAATAGTAAATACTACTCTAAGAGTATTTTCTTCTTTTAGGCTGGTGAATCCTGTTTTAGGTTTTAAATACTAAGTGTACCAGGAAATGCTAGCTGTCGTCTTCATTTACAGGTTAGGTGACGCATCTTGTAGGATAAATCCTGTCAGGTTTTCTTAATTCCTCGTACAGTGTATGTAGCTGAAAGACGTATCTTAAGACATATTATCGAACTAATATTGGCTATTCTGTTCCCTCGGTCTCTTTATTTGCAAAAGATAACATTGTGTAAATATATTTATAAATTGTCTATTTTTGAAACTAGTTGGAGGTAGCAACTATTATAACTGCAATTTCAAATTAAAGAGCAGAATTAAATACTGGCGGTAGTTTCTTTGACATGATTCTATTCTAAACTGGCTGTATTTCAATTTATTATGAAGTAACTTATGTATCAAGTGCTTACAGTGAACATCTGATTTGATAGTTGCTTAGGTGTGCAGTGTTAAAACTGTCTGAGGCTGTTAAAAGCAATCAGGAAAATTTTAATAAAGATTGTATTAGTATAACAGAGTTGAGAAGGTCGGTTATTAGTACCTCTATTAGGTAACATCTAAAATATTAAACTCTTAAACTTGTGGGAAAAATTGATTCAGGTGTGCAGATAGACTCTTCAGTTACAAAAACATTCTAACCTTGTTAGTCTCCATCTCTGATAACTTAATACTATTTACAAACTATAAATATACCCTGTGCTTATCTCGCGTGCTTAAGTGCAAATCTTATGTTAATGCATTTATAAATAGAACTCTTGAAGAGAAGGATAGCATAGTGTGCTGTTTGAAGGCATGTCTAACTGGACCAGAGTAGGACATAAGGTGAAATCGACTTCAAAAGCTGGCAGACCTAAAAATACAGCATTTAAACTGGTTAGAAACTTCATAAACTTAATATTTACAGTATCACTGCAGATGTCTTGGAAGAAACTCTCACTGAACCTGAAAGCTTTATTTATGAATTATTTTCAGAATAGGATGTTTTGCTGCTATGAATTTTTAAATGCTTCAGTTTGGTATAATCTGTACTTGGGCTGTTTTTACATTGCTATGCTATGGGCTAGGTATGCATTAACAAATTGAGTTAACTTCTGTCACGTGCAATGAACAAAAATATTAAGGTTGAAAAGCGGAGTTTTATCTTGGTTCTGTTTGTGTACGAATGAATATTTAAAAGGAGGAATGTTTGTTTAGGTATTCATTTAATGCTTATTTATAAAGTTACATAGAAGATTATTTAAAGTGGGGATTGTATCATAAGGGATTAAAAAAAGGCAGAATAAAGGAGCCAGCACCTTGCTATTCATAGCTAAGATACCAGCCTTTGGAGAGGTGTATACATGGAATAAGTGTGTTATTTTAATGGAGATAAGTGATATGGTAGGACCCCCAGGCAGATAGTGCTTTAAGGCATATACTATATTGCTATAGTAAACTTTTCACAGAAGATTGAAAGACTTTTAAACTAAAAGCCAGAAGAATGTTGTTTGAAAGCTAAACTTAAGCAGGGAACTAAAATCTAGGAAAAAAGGAACAAAAATAAGGGTGTTTGTAAACGGCAGCCCTTTCCTGTTGTAGGTGAGGCTCTACTTCTAGGCAACCTAATGACCGAGTGTCAGCAAGCCCTCTCCTTTCTGCTTCCTGGGAACTTTGTCTCCAGTGACAAAGGTCTGTGTGGCCTCTTCATTATACTCTCTTAGGCTGTGCGTGAGTGGCAGGCCATTTATAAAGGTCTCTGGATCTTTGCTTGAATATGCTTGGTAATTCAGTTGCCTTACAGGAAGCACCACCTGACACAACTCTCAAAGGAGCACAGTTGTGAACAGAAACATAAAACAAATGCCATCTGTCACAGATGGCTGTAGCAGGTTACCATGTTCTGTGCCAAGTATCTCATTCCCTTCTAGAATTCATCCAGGACTGTTCACCTATATTCCATGACTGTGGGAGAAAAATGAAGTTTGGGGCGCTGAGTCTCATTACAGGCCATGATCGATCTATCATAGATGCCGAAACTTCTTGTTTGTCCTCCCACCATATTAGTCATCTTTGGTTTTGAGAAGGGGATTCAGATGGAGAGAAAACAGGAGTGACGGTCCTTTCTCTCTTCCCCCGAGTCCAGGCTTTTACACTTACCATTTTACGTCCCCTTTTTCCTGAACTTTTTCCCTTTCTTGTTCTAGTGGCATCTTGCCCAGTTACATTCTAGCTTTCGTCCTCTCTCTGCAATTGAATTAGACTTCTCTAGCACAGTGCTTGTGAAGTTCAGCCTCTGACAACAGGAAGCTTTACTTCTAAGGAGCGTAGTTATCTGCAACAGCTGGAGCTGTTGGAGACTGTTTAACATCAGCAGATCTTTTTGTATATGTAGAATACGTTTTTCCCTTTGGGGCCCATAACTTTGTGTGGCTTTACAGTGAAGGCACAAGACTGCCTCCAGTTGTGCTTTGGAGTTAGGAGGTTCAAAGGAACATATATTAGTCTGTTTCAAAGAAGAATTTTCTAGATTGATTTTTTTCAGATATGGACAGAAAGAACACTTTTCTCCTGTTTTCAAAAGCAGTTTTGATTGAAATGTCGTCATTTTTCTCCCTCCGTCTTCTGAGGCTCAAAAAGTCTAAGACAGCTAGCAGGTATAGACAACACCTTATGTGGATGACCGTTTGTAAACTGTGGTCTTGCTAATGGCTCCCTAGAGGCCTTAAAGACTGAAATCTAGAAGCTAAGACCAACTCTTGGTGTTGCTGTTAGTGTTTGGTTATGCATGGGGTAGGCTTAGGTGTGATTTGGACTTTCCAAATTAAAGCTCTTCCTAGGATTATAGATGGATTAAAGTAATCGTGCAGGTTAATTTCTCACTGGTAAAGCTTCAGCTTCTCGGAAACTACTAGGCTTCGAGTGGACATGCATGCAGAGCGGCTAACATGCTCTATGTAAATACATACTCATCTGTCCTTGAGCTCTCAGTTTGGCTTCTCGGTTGGTGCTATTTTAATGTTACGCGAACTGAAACAGCATGAGATTGGGAGCTTTTCCAGTGATGATAGACCTTCTTTCACTCACAAGTGCTTTCTTGGTCATTGCTATTGTCTTAGTAATGCTACTGAATCCCTTTGTTCTCATCTTACTGCTTGTTGTTCCATGCTTCTGACACATCACCATTTGCTTTTCATCACCCTGACTCTGCCTATTACAGCAAAGTTTCTTGCTCTATTAGCGAGACTACGTGCTGTGCCCAGGTGATACTTAAAAACAGGCAAAGACAAAATGGGGAAATCTGAAATAGATAACAAACTTTGGAACTATTTTCACTTTCTGAAGTGGTGGTGTGTTAGGGGAATTCAGTTTGAGTAGTTTAACATAATTATGTGTTGTATGTGTGTTAACTGGTAAACTGTAGAGGACTTGTTAGCTCCTGTTTACTCCGAAATCAGATTTGAGTCTCTTCAGATTTGTCTGCATGCCCAATCCCTTGTAGTGCTCTGCCGTGGAACCCGTTGATGGGAAATGTTAGTGCCTCCCTGGCCTTTCGTTGTTCCAGCTCTGTTTCTCTTTGCAGTATGAACATCTTGTGAACGTGCACCACCTATGTGGAGCATAGTACCAGGAAGTTGGGCCTTCCCCCTGCTACTGAGGTTACCAAGGCATCAGCTATGGTGGCTTTTACTTTCTGGTGCTGGCAGTACTATGCAGTGCCTCAGTGGATAGCTTTTATTTGCTATGGAGGCTGTGTATTAGCACTATGAATTCTAGAATTGTTTACCTTGATATTTCTCACTGGAGAAATTATGAGACTTGGAACATAAGTATTTTTCTTTGGTATTTAGTACGTTGTTATGCATGTCTGCTGCTTCAGATGTGCTGACCTTTTTTCTAAGTACTAAATGGTGCCCTTGAAGCCCTACCTCAGTGCAGTCCATTTCTAATTTTCTTTCTTCTCTAGCTTGTATAGCACAGTGGGTGAAGGAAATTACCTGTCACTTCCTATTGAGTCTATTCCTCTGAGATCCGTAATTTGGAAAGTGACTTTAGTATATTCTACGGTGCTCGAACTTGTAGGAGGATGCTGTAACCAAATGTGTTGGTATTTTTCCCTCATAAATATTCTGTCTATGCCATACCACTACTCAATGTTGTGAGCATTTATCCTTTTCCCTTGCATTAAACAGTTCTGCTTGGACTGGAGCCTCTATTTGCTTTTTTATTGGTCTCGAAGCAAGTCTTTCACTTCCCTCCCCTTTGACATTAAGCGATCATGTTTCTTCACAAAGTAAACCTCTGTCCTTCATCATCCAACTGATAGGTTAGTCAGCAGTTGATCAGTGTTTTTCTTAAAAGCATAAAAAAAAATTCAGCAGGTGCAATTAGTAGAGTGCTTGTTCATGTTCTTTTGCTATCTTTTCTCTGCTGCCTCGTCGATTTTTTTTCTTGCATGTTGTAAAAAGCTATGATGTATATAACTTTTATTTTTGAGAATTAGGTTTTTAAAAAAGCTCCTGATGACTTTAGGCTGTATAAATAACATTTTGAAGCAGTCTTTTTCTAGAGGATGTTTTCTTTGACAACCTTGTATTCCCAGCATTTAAGTGAATGTAGCAAAACAGTTTTGAATGAATATTTAGCTGTCCTTAAATGTTATTGCTGAGTAGTAGGCAAATATCTGAATTTTGGGTTTTTTCCATCACTGTTGTCTAATAGAAGACAACAACCGCTATTCTTACTTGGGCCCAGATTAAAAAAAAGCTTTCTCATGATTCTTTATTGCGGTAGTAAGCTAACATTATATTCTTGCTGGAATCCCTATTGGAATGAGTGCCAAGGCAGTGAAATTAAAGGGGAGGGGGTGGGAATGAATGATCTAATTAAATGGGAAGAGGGCAGAATTACTATGGTAAGTAAATAGATCTTATTTTCAAACTCCAGGAGTTAAAGTGCAGTGTCTTTGCCATTGCCTTAATAAATCATGCATCTCAGAAATTGTAATTAAGAAAATAATGCAAACGTTTTAAGTTTGAGTATCGTTCCATGCTATTTGAGTATTTCCTTTAGTAGGTAAACAGATACTGCCTCAAAAAAATTAGAAGTTACATGGTTTCTCTTTGCAAAGCTGGCATAAGCTGCAATGACTGTTTAAATAGCAATGTCAATTGTGTTCACTGGGTCAGGAAATCTTTTTCCAAAGAAAAGCCCCTATAAAACTGTTATTCAGCCCTGATTTTTTTTTAGCTCACTTCAAAGCTGCACCAGTATCTGTTGCAGTTATGTGCTATAATCAGAGTATTCAGCCTTACAGTAGCGCTAGGCATGGAGGACCTATAAAGCAAATATCATTAGTTATTTTTTGATTGTATAACTTTAGTTGAAGGGAGAGGTAATTCTCTACAAGACTCTTACTGCATTGAGTAACTTTGTTTTTCATTTACAGAGTTCCTGTAAACACTAGTAAATTCGACTGGCAGGATATGTCCTGGAGATTTTTTACGACAGCAACTATCAAGGGAAAAATTTGCGAATGGGATGAATACGCCATTGTTGACTATTACCTGACAGAAGCTGGCTGGGCACTTCCCTAGTGATGTTTTTATTTTTCACATTGCCCAATTTGAGTTTGCTGATACTGATTTAAAAATAAATCAAAGTGGAGTACCATAAACTTGATATGGAGAGTAAAAAAAAAGACAAGGACAAAGCAGATGAAAGAATGGCACGGCCTAGTGGGAGGTCAGGCCACAATCCACGTGGATCTGGTTCTTCAAATTCTGGAGTGTTAATGGTTGGACCTAACTTTAGAGTTGGCAAAAAAATTGGATGCGGAAATTTTGGAGAGCTGCGGTTAGGTAAGATCTCTTATTTCTTTGTTTTGGTTTACGTTATTCAAAGCATGTATGCAGACTAGGAATGAAACTGAACAGACAGTTACAGCTTTTTAAACTACTTTCAGATACGTTAAATTTGCCTCTCAGCTCTGTCATGTGTTCACAGCTCTATCATGTGTTAATATGTGTGTATATGGCAGGAGACTTTCTAGGATTAATAATACTTTGTACATAACTGCTGTCACGAATTCAGTCAGTTGTCTCTAAGATGCTGGAAATGCCAGCATGGTTACTGTATTTTGCTTTCTCTCCTGACCTCCTGAAACAATTCTGATGTTTTTGGGCTGAATTTGTAAAACATCCTCCTTCCATAATTCTAGCATAAACACTCTATTCTTGGAGATCTCTTGGAGACAGCAGAGAGCAGTGCCTGTAACAGGCATGCCAGAACTGCAGCAAGCTTTTGATTTCCTTGATTGCTGTCATCAGTGGCAAGGCTGAACAGTGAGCTGCTTGCTGTTGGTTGTGCAGTAAGGATTCATCTGTAGAAAGCCTTGGAGGTGGGAGTAATGCTGTAAGTTAGCTCTCTCCCTGCCAAGTCTTAGATGGATGAAGATAAAATGGCGAAGAGGGACAGGCTGAGAAGAACCTGTGGAATTTTGAAGAATGTCTGGGCCAAAGTCGTCTTTTAACTGTTCGTTAAGATAGACGGTGTATAAAATAGGTGTGTACTTTTGGAAGAGTTCATATTAATTTATTTTTTGGGGGGGTTGATTTCCATGATGGCAGCATTGATGAGCTTTTATGATCTGGGAATTCTGTATGCGTTGGCAAGCATGGGTCAACATGTAATGCCAAGAATTTATTCCAGTATTCCTGAAAGGCTTGAGTTAACAATGCTCTGCTTCAAGGTTTAAAGGGAGGCATTTTTAAAAGCAGGGTATTTGAGTAGGGTGGGCTGTGTAGATGTAGCTGTTGTGTTTCCGTTCATGTTTTGTTTCTGTGGTAGAACAACTTCTCATTGTCCTGCAGAAAGATAACATAAGGTGCTTTTAGCATTGCACTTTCTGGGGCTTTTATATCTGGTTTGAGTCAGATGTGTAAACAAGCAAGCATCTTATTGTGAGAGATGAAAGATTGTTTCTGGACTCTACTGAAGAAACTATTTAACACAGTTTCCATAAGATGTGTTCCAATTATTTGTAGCAATAATTGATTGCAAACAAGATTGATACACTTCTGACTTTTGAAGTGTTAGATATGTGCCTTTGCAGTTTAGAAGTTAAACTGGAGTTCTCTTGAGCTCTTAAAATTTCTTATCACATTTAATACTATAGACAACTGTAAACTAAGCAAGTTAACATTTGCAGGGATTTTAGGAAGAAACTTTTTGCCCTGTGTGTTGTCTTGGATTACAGCATAAAGAGCTGGTAATTTGATATTAATCTAAAATAGGTAATCTCAGTTACTGGCAGCAGTTGAATCCTAGAGTGAAATTAGGTACTTCATTCTGAGAGACATTAATATAAAAGTGGCAAAGCTTTGAATCTGATAATACTGAAATAAAAACAGGCAAATGAATAAAAGGAAGAGAATAGCATACTGGCCTTCCAACAGCAGCCAAGAGCAGCAGGCTTTTTTCTTTCAATTTCTGCTGTTTTTGCATAAGTAATAGATATTTCAAGTCTTAATTTACTAGTATATGTAGGATAAGATGTTTTAAATGTGTAAATTACTGAAAGAAAATCAAGATTGGTATTGCAGATTCTGATTTAAATATTTTGGTATTTTGACTGTTTCTACAGTACAAGTCAACTAAAACAGACAACCCTCCTGCAAAGATGTGTGCAAGCACTCAACTTGTTTATGTACTTCAGCAGAACTGTGATATATTTTGAGCAAGTATGTAAGGGTTCAGTCTTAAAAGACTTAAAGGAGGAATAAAGTTAAGGTGCAGTGAAGTTATGGTTCAAGAAACAGTTACAATCTAGTAGCTGTTGCAGTTCTTCCACCTCAGAGGAAAAGAATTGCCAGGCTTCTAGGTTGGCTTACAGTGGTGGATCGAATGGTAAATGGGCTGTATGTAGCAAATGAATTTCTCTAATGTGCAGCTAGCATGCTTATTTGCTTACAAATGAACTGTGTGCTAAATTGGTTTGAAGGCTGTTAACCTGTTAATCTTGAGGCTATCTTGGGTTAAAAGATAGACTGGTGGGGTAATAAAAGAAAGTTTATGGTGCATGTGAGGCATTACCTGTTCCGTAGTTAGGGATCTCAATGGAGGTGCCAAATCTGCTATCTTCTATGTTTTAGAGATGGTTGTCTTGAATTACCACATTCAAAGTTACAGTACTCCTCAGAATGATAGGCCTGTTGTTACACTGCTTTGATGAAACTCAATATCCAGTCACAGTAACTAGATATATTAGCTACTGTAGTAGCTGACTGATACCTAATAGAGTCAATGAGCAGGACCTGTGCAAGAATTCTTTTAAAGTCGATGGATCATAATAGAGTGCTAAGACACGGAAGCAGCTTCAAAGCATGCTTTTGGTCAAAAAAAAATGTAACAAGACAGTTGCTAAATAAGAATTAATGTTTGAGATATCTGGAAATCTGCTCAAGTCACTGGATAAATCTTGAAATTCTCTTGGTGGTCAAACTAGACCATATTGCCCATACCAACTTTCAGTCTTTAGTCTTTGGGTAACTCCTCTTCCTTTTTGTAAAGCTGATCTTTTAACGGACAAGTGATTTTAATATTTTTCTTCGGCTTTGCAAGGATGGTTTTTCCTCATAGGGATTGGAGCTGAGGATCAGTCTTTGACTGTAAATGTAACATTTTCCTGGGAAGCTTTTTATCTGAGTCACATCTTTCTTTTCTCATCTGATTTCTTTAAGAAAACTTGAACTAATCTGAATTTGGACAAGAGTAATATTAAAAATACATATGATTGCCATTAAAAGTAGTGCCTGCTTTTCATTTCTTTGCAGCCTTCTGCAAAGGAGTTGAGAATGTCAAAAGTGACTACCTAATTTTTATGTGACGTTTTTCAATTTTATACCTCTAAAGCTTGTTTAATGTCTTGGTTTTCATATAAGGATTTGATGTAATGCTGGTTGAAGTACTCATATCAAGCTGCATAGCAGTGTTAAAATAGCAGATATATCTTCCAGTGTTGTAAGCATTTAATGTAGTAATATTCTTGCACTCTGTCCTAACACTGAGTTCAGTGAATTACAAAACTGAGGGGAAGAAAAAAAGCCTTAGCTAATTCTATGTTGTGGTAGAGTCTGATGTTCCAATACCATAATATAATTTAACTCAAATTTAAATGGCTTGCAGTGATAAATCTGAATATAGCAAGTCAGTACATGTTCCACTTCTAATTTTTTAGATTTTCAAGCTTTTTAAGGCTATCAGCATTTTTGCAAAATTGGTGAAACAGCCCAAACTATTATCTCAGTGAAGAGATGTACTAGTTCTTACACTATTTAAGAACCAAGTTCTCTGTAAAGTGTGGTATCACACTATTAAAATCATGTTTAAATCGGGTCCAGAACGTTTAAATCACAAGTTTAAAGTATCAATTAAATCTCAAGAAATTTTTAAACAGGGAAAAAGATCCCATAGTATCAGAATCTATCATTTTTGTCACAATAGAGCATGGATGTTTAATTGACCTTTTCTTTTTTAGCCTTTAGTCTTACTTTAAAAAAAAGTGCTTGAAGAGTATATAAAACTCATGTCTAACCAGAAACCGCAAATCTAGTTTGAAATAAGAGGATTTGTTTTACTCAGATATGCTTAGTAATTATGTTCTTGATACAGATTTGTGTCATTTATCTTCTGTGTTCTAGTGACATGGTTCTATGTTCTAGTTGAAGCATTTTCAGGATATGTTGATATTAGTTTAAGTGTTTTTTCTGAAGGCCTCTTGTCATATAGCTGATATTAAAGCTCTGAAAATTTACTACACTATTACATCTTGTTTTACTCACAAGTTTACCACAGTAGATCACTCCTGTATTTGACTGTGAACTATATTAGAAGTTTTCTGAAATTAAGCATGTTTTAGATTATTTCAGTAATTCAGACCAAAAGTGTTAAACTTTCTAAACCACAAACCAAACCCTTAGACTTTCTGTTCATCTGAATAAACTGCTATTTGTGCTTTGCTTGCAAAGGTTACGTGTTACTTTAGTGCGAACGTAAATCACAACATAAATTGCTAGCTGAATTGGTCACAAGCCTAGTTATTAATTTTCAATAAGCTCTTTGGCAAGTAGTGGCTGAGGAAAGTGGTCATAAGTCTGTTTTATATGGATGGAGTTTTTGGCAGACCAGATCTCCCACAGTTCTAGGCTTTTGTAAACTGTCACTGCCAAAGTCTCATGTTCTTGTTTTTTTCTTTTTTTAAGGAAAAAATTTATACACAAATGAATATGTGGCAATTAAGCTGGTAAGTTAATATTTTTTTTAAGATAAGTTAATATTTTTAAGGTTTGGGGTGAAAAAAATCAGACTTCCTGTCATGTAACATGATTTGATTTTTCTTAATTGAAATCTTTAGTCTTGTATATTTCAATGGACTAGATGAAAGTACTTAGTGGTAAACATTATTGTATACCTTGACCATGCTGAATGAAACCAGTGTTAAATGCTGTCAAGTGATGTTTGTAAAGTCAGTGATGGTTGACTGCTTTTTCAAGGATATGTTCAGCAGTCTTACCTGGTAGATTCCTTTTTCTTTCAGCAAGTGGAAGAGAGCAAAATTTATCAGACATCAAATGACTGCAAAAAGGTCCAGAAATTCTACAGAATGCCTGCTTTCCAGCGCTGTTGCTCCCTCTTGAAATTCATTTTTTTCATCTGTCATCATTGCTGCTCACGCTTCTGACTGTATGAGTGTATTTTTACTTGCTAAAATTGGTGAAATGTTTCCTTCACTTAGAGATGTGCATAACTCACCTAACTGCTAATGTGACATTGTTCTGTTCTTTCCAAATCTGTCTTTAGAACTATTTAGTTTACATCATGTTGTTCTTCTGGATGCCTCTTATGAAAAGTCATTTACATAGAACTTAATCAAGGTATACCAAGATGAAATTCAGTTCTGTAGTTTTTGTTCTCTGAAGGCTTCTTAGGACGCCCGTAATTCTCTTGTTGCTGCAGTCAGACAGTTTTTGTCATAGTATAGTATGGTAAATGATCTGGTTCCGTAAAATAAGAGGTAAGCTCTGAAAAGAGAAAGATATAGCTTAAGCCTGAAGAGCATTGCATGTTTATATAGTAAATATCTGAAAAATGTGTGTAACTATCCAGTGGTTAGAAAAATGTTTATATCGGGAATAGTTACAGATGTAAAAAAAGCCCAAGTTACACTTTGGAAGAGCAACAGTGGATGCAGTTAGTTCTAAGGGTTATTGTGTGTATGCTATATCTGATGTAAAATCACTTTGTTTTCAAAAGTCTTGAAGTTATTTTATAAGTCTAGTAAAACTTGAAAATGTTCTGAAAATTTCTAGTTAAATGTTGTTTTTGTTTGCTGAAAAGCACCTTCAGTGATTTTTGAAGCACTGATTGGTGATGCAGAGCAACAGAACTTTAACTTTTGGATTTTGGTAAACCGTTTTTTTCTGGTTCTGTGTGTAGCTGTATTAAACTCACTTAAAAATAATTACAATGCATAAATTTAAGTTACTAAGTTATTTCTATATCAAGTCCTTCCACGTTTCAAAGGTATTGTTCAGTGGCAAACTTTATTGATTTCCGAGTGACTCGGTTTTCACTGTTCCTTTAAAGCTGTGGAAGAGTCTTTAATCCTCATTGAATAACTTCTTCAGAAGTCATTAAAGATCCAATGTAGTCCAGTGTAGTAGAATCTGTCTGTGATTTCCTATTGTTGCTTAAAGGAATCTTAGCATATAGTTATTCTTTGAGTTGTCCTCTTATATTATTGATATTAAAAAGTATATCTCCACAATAAACAGCTGGAAGAATGGGAGTAAGAATACTTTCAGTTATTGGCAGGTAGCGCTAGTGGCTTCTTTCAACATAGTTCTCAATTTTTTCTTTCAACTTTTTTGACTTTTTTTTCCTCACCATTGAAAGGGATTTGGATCACAAGGTTGGGTCTTTCTGCTGTGGACAGCTGCATCAAATTGCGAGGTTTTGTTTAATTTTGCCGTGTGGGTTTTCTCTTCTACTGGACACTGTGCCAGGACTTGTTGTGCTCTAAGGGTTAGAGTTGTATTTATTTGTGACTGGTATACCTTCCTTCCCCCTTTTTAAGGTTAGTCTAATATTGGGAGATGTTTTCCCCTATGCCTGGCACTTGTTCTAGTGGTGTTCTTAAGCAGTCGTCAGTACCCACCTTTTGTTTTGTTAGCCTAAATGAGGCAAACTTAGTTTCTTCTTTATCCCAGTAATTCTGTGCTCTAGTTCTAGTCTGAGTTTATGCTTCCTGAGTGGGATAACTAGGATTCTGTATGGATTCTGTTTTGAGGAGCAGTAACCCTTGCCGGGTACAGTTACAATAATACCTCTCCTAACGTATCCTTGAATCACACTCGCCTTCCTCGTGGCGGTGTTCCACTGTTGACTTGCTGTTCTCTTGTAATCAGCTCGTGAGGAGAATCTTTTTCCTCTTATACAAGATTCTTTGTGTGTAAATGGTAACCGTTTACCCTGGCAGAGAAGAATTGTGTGGGTTACTCCTGAAAGGATGAGTTTTAATTGCTACGTTTGGAAGGCAACTTTACAGGCATGTCTGTCACTACTGCTAACAGTGAATGGATGTTTTAACTACTATTTTGACTTCATCTTTACTTTGTGTGCATCACATCTTAATATTTTCCCTCCTGGACAAATGTGTATGAAGTACTTCATAATGCTTGGTTACCTTAACTTTGGGAAGATAGCTTTAGGAATCACTTCTCTAAGGAAAAATAGTTCAGACATTTGGGTTTGCTCTTATAACACTCAGGCCTTGCTCTTAAAGTATAAGCTTTATATGTAAATGGATATTCTAGTAAAATGACTTCAATTGCAGGGTTTTAACACTTCTGGCCTCCTTCAGTTTGGCATATTTTGGACAGGAATTTGTTTTAAAGGTCAGAAAGGACTTTACAAACTAGAGTGAGAATGTTTGCAGCAGGGGTTTCATCAGTTGTATGCCATCTGTGTGTATTTCTATTTGTCTACCAGTTTGAGTGCAAGTATACAGATTGCAATCTTGTGACTAGGTAGTTCTCTAGTAAATACCATTTGCTGTATCTGAACTGTACCTTTCCTGTTAACCTCTTCATTTATTGTCAGATTTCTTACTACATGTCCCTCTACTTTGCTTTTACTTCATTTTTCCTACTCTGCTCTTCACTCTTCATCATGCTGCTTCCATTTTCCTTTACTGAATTTCTCCGTTGTGGAAACTCCTCTCCTTTACAGGATGTTTAACCACTAACCAAATAACTAAAAGCTACTGCTTGACCTGCATCTGGAAATAACTATTTTTTTCTTTCTGTCCTTGGGTGAAAGTGCAAATTGAGGTAGTCACTGCTGTTTTTAATCTATAGTCTTGAATTCATTAAATATTTAACCTTTAGATGATATCATAAAATTTTGGGGGCAGAGGAAGGGAGGTTGTAGTTGGTTCCAAGGTTAGAATTTTTCTTCCTTTTATGTTTTGAAGAATTATTGTCGTCCGGGATGACACCATTTCAGAACCTCTGTGGAGACGTACAGACCACACAAGCAGTAAATCCAGATTAAGTGCAACTCTGTTTCATAGGCTGATCTTTTTCTTTTAAAAAACCTCTGTCTCTTACAGAAACTTTTATTGGAAATAATTTGCTGGTTTTTCTTAAACTGTGAAGCAGAGACAGAAAATGTACTAATAGTTCTCATTGGATTATTGAAAGTATGAAAACTAGGCAATTTATAGCTGAATAGTTATGTAGTGCTCTAGGTCAATATCAGATTTTAAATCTCTAACCTTATGGTTAGAGCAAGCAAACTGCATCGATTGTGTTCTCAAAGCCCTTCAGAAGGGAGATGCTGTATCTTAAAATTATACAGTAACTTACTCTGCATCTTTGGAGCAAAAATAGATTTACAATGAAGTGTCTTTATCCTATTTGAATATATAAGCATCCCACAAAAGAAAAAGCAAGGAGAAAACTGGGCAAAAAAGAACGTGAGTTAAAGAGCTATTGTCTGTTTCTCAGGTAACTGTTGCTGTGTAAACTGCTGTGTTAATTCTTTGGCAGTAAGAACACAGCTTGAGCCCCAAGTCCCTCATTAAGAGGGGAAAATGCTCTTTTGCAAGGAAAAGGAACTGCCTACTTTTTTTATATAGCAGCTTTGAAGTCATTGGACTTGAATGTAAACTGTACAGTGTACTGTAGGTGGTTTACAGAACACTGAAAGTCATGGAATGGTCATGGGATCCTTTGAAGACCTGAGGTCTTAAGAAAATAAAAAATGTACCTCATCCCTTGATAATAGGACAAGGTGGCTTTAGAGTCCTTCAGGATTGACTTACGCTTGAACAATGCTCCAGTTCTGGGTTCCCAAGCTTATTTTTAGATGCTGAAGCGCGTACTGAAACACTCATGAAAACAGGAGGAGCTGTGACTTCTGGTTTCTTTTTTATTCTTGAATATACTTAAACTCTTTTCAGACTTTAATATCATAAAAAGTGATTTTAGTGCTATATTCTTCATGTCTATGTTACAGTGGAAGCTAGCATTTATCATATATTTGTCTTGATTTATACTTAAATATTCTACTTTTCTCATTTGTCAATAGTTCACTGCATGCTCCAGAGTGATATATAGAAACAAAATAAATTGGCTATCAACACCTTATTGTGCTTTTTCCTCTCGAACTTCATCAAATGAAAGGTTGTAATTGTTTTCTATGTTTGAAGTAGAGTTACTGAAGAGTTGAGGATTTATCTAACTCCCTTTTCACCATCCCAGGGTATTCCAGAAATCCTACAACCAATAAATGGTCTGTGATGACTATTGTCACACTTTTTCTCACCATTAGGGAAGGGTGTAAAAATATTAGTATCTTTTTGCAAGGTATGATTTTTTTATTTTAGTATTTGGCTAGTGTGTAGTTGTCAAGTTGACTTGTTTGTGTTTTTGTGAACGCTTTCCTTCGGAAGTTTTATGAGCACTATTTTCTGCTGAGCAAGCAGCATTCAATTGAAGATCTATCTTGCAAATGTGTTAAGTTAAAAATTAGAATTTTTGTTTTCCCTAGGAAAATTGTATTCTTTCCTATCTACTTACTTTTTTAATGCATTAAAGCCGTTTTCTCCCTTTTAATGGGACATCTCATAACGTTGATAAATAGATAATTTAGTATCAATTAAAGCAGAATTGTATTAACTGAAAGAAGAAAAATCAAACAGCCAGTGTCTTGTCTTGGTAAACTCAGTAAACATGAAGAACTTATGGACTTCAGATCCTAAAATACTTTCTTAGTGAGCAGTTACAAGCAAAGCAGAATTACAAGTTTTAATTGTATGTGCCATTGTGTACTGTGTAACTGATAGACTTGTATTATATCACTGCGGGCACGCTAATAGCAAAATTTTTGTGCGGCTTCACAACCACATGAAATCATTCAGCATAAGGGGGTTTTGTAAAGGCTGTGAAAACTGATTACTAACGACTGATAAGGTTTTTTTCCCAGTTTGGATTGATATGCTTGGACCCTTATTTACAGTGTTCTTTGAATGAAAAGTCTTTAATGCTTGACACTGAATTTCTTGTGTTTTCCAGATACTCTGTAAGTGGATGCTTATGGTAGTCCAGTTAGTCTTGCTTAACAACATGGTCCTTTTGTTTTAGAAAGTTCTTGCTCAGGCCTTTGCAAAGAACTTAAGGTATTCGGCTAGGATGAATGCTCTAGAGCTTGGAAAGTGTATATTTTCCTTAATTTCTGCTCAGTTTTTGTGGAAACTGTTAATGTGTCCCTTTTTTGCTTGTGTTCCTCAACTGCTGGTAGCCTGCTGAAACGAAATGCACGAATGGACTATGACAGGGACTGTGGCAGTGGCAGTAGCAACAATTTGAAACACCTGAACTAGAAGGAGGTGGACTGGGAAGGAGGGCTAGGCTCCTTGTGATTGCACTTTGTGTTATGGCTTCTATGGCCTTGGATATACCACTGCAGAATATAATACAGGCTAAAGAACTCTTAGCTTCTGGAGAGGATAGTGTGAGGAAGGAGATAAGAGCTTTTCCCAAACTTTTGCTGGAAATTGCCATCTAGCAGTATATCCTCTTTCATGGATAAATAGTTTATATTAACAATCTTACCTGTTGCTAAGCTACTGGTCTAGTAGCAGCAGTCTGTGAAAGAATAGTTAGTATGCAGTTAATGTTGTAAGATGTTATATACCATAAAGCCAAGCATGACTTCAAAAAGATGCTCTAGGAAGGTACTTAACAGTCTTATGATAAAGCACTATTTACTTTATAAAGTGAAAAACTTAGTGTAGGTTTGTTGCTTGTATTTTCTTGTGTATATGAGTGAAGTCATCAATGAAGTGACCTTTGTTCTGAGACCAGCCACATATGTATGCAAGACATAACTCAGATTTCATTAACCTATGTAATTTATGTCAGGAATAGAAAGATTTAAGTTGCAGAGTTATTTTGGTGCTTTTTTAGGTGCCATGTGTATAGTTTGGCATTGTACTATTTAATTTCTATAGGCTGTTACTGTTTGGAAGGAGTTGGTATTTTTTGTGTCATGATCCTGGCATAAAACTTTTGGTCGCTAAAGATGCGTCTAGCACATGTATCAGATTTGAACAGGCTTTTTGATTTGTGGAGCTACATACTAGCACCTTCTTTTGAAGGCTGCAAGATGTATATCAGGGATATGCTTTGGAGTGCAAAGAGGAGGGACAGATCAGCTCACAGATGGAAGAATTTGTTTATTGTGGGTGGGGTCTGGGGTTGAGTTTGTATCTTGGGCCCCAAGATGATGGAGCAATAAAGGATGTAAAAGCCCCGTAAAAGACTCTGGTCTTACCTGACTGAGGTTAAGGTTTCCCAGTAGCCTAATTACCAGTCATTGTGGAGGGAATATTCAATTTTTTCGTGTGGTTCAGAAGCCACAGGGTTAGCATGGTTGGTACACAGGTTAGGGAATTGGTTTTTAAGGTTCAGAACAGCAGCTAAGAGGCTTTCTTTTAAATGTTGTTTTTGTTTTTAAATCAGGAGCCAATGAAGTCAAGAGCACCACAGCTACATTTGGAATACAGATTCTACAAGCAGCTAGGATCTGGAGGTAAAATAACTGTCGTGCATTATACTGTAATGTAATCTAGTATCAATTTTCACATCATTTTTCTGATTTAGAGTATAAATATTTTTAAGTGTCCCTAGGTACTTAAAGCAGCAAAAAAGACCTTGAATCAGTGGAATAATCTAAATTATTTGTTCTTTCTCTTTGAGAATCTCATGGACACACCTTAGACTAAGAAATACTAAATATTACAAAGTGTGTGCCATATGGGTATACCTTATACTAAGGAGTCTTACAGTATTCCCAGTGTTTTCTTTTTGAATAAACACTATAAATTACGAAATAGCTAGTCTACTAATCATATATTTTTATTTACCTTAAAGTTGCTAAGATATTTAAGTAGTAGCTTTACTATTAATTCTTTTGACACTGTCTCTTACTTTATATAATGCTTAAGCATCTTAAATACAATAAATGTATTTAAATAGTTTAAGAAAATTTGAGTTTCTCATTTCACTATCCTTGGTGCTTTTATACCAGAAATATTTTTGTGATTATCCTCTCAAAGTGACCCGATAAACACCTTTTGTTATAGGTGAGTGATACCAGAAACTTTCATTTTGCCTATTTTTGCACCTTTTGGAGCTGTATATAGTCAGTTAGCAAGAGTTGAAGCTGCTTAACCTAAGTGAGTATAAAGCTTCCCAAAATTAGTTAAAACACTAGGGGGAAAAAAAGTTATTGCATCTATTTCTTGAAAGTGTTCCTTAAAACTTTTGGATTAACTTTCAGTATGTCGTTTAGTTATAGTTATTGTTTCCACTTTTTATTTACTAATGTAGAAAGTTATTTTATAAACTGGACTTAATTGTTTTATGCATGCACACTTTCTATCAAAGGAGGTTTGATTTCTGAGACAGTGATTTTTAGGAAAGTTATGCTTAAGCAACTTCAAAAGAATATTAAGCCAAAGAGCCATATCTCCAAAAGTCAGGGAATGCAAACTGAATGTTGCTCATGCCACTAATTTTATCCCTGAGTTTATGATGAATTTTAATACTATTCTTAATACTATTTTTAAATACTGCTTTTGTCTTTTAGAATTTGGGGCTGTATGTTCATTGATGTACAGGCTGGATAGTGTTTTTCTGAGTGGGTAGCTTTCAAAATCAAAAGAACCTTTATTTTGAAAGATGCTGTCTATTTCTTTCCCTTCATATGGAACTTATTTTGTGATGTTGTAGCATGTATGCTCTACAAGTGGAAACTCTTCTTTAGAGAACTCCTTCCAAGACAGAACAGTGTCTATTCTATTCAGTAGATGGAGAATTAAGTTGCAGATTGTCTGTAGTCAAAATCAGGTGCTTTAGGCGCTTGCTGATTTGAGAATGTCATTAGGGGGTGGTGTCTTTTTTTACAGTAGCTGTAAATTGTCAGCATAAAGTAGATGAGCATTTTGAAATAACTGATAGTTCGGAGATTTTTTGTCACTTGACTAATGAGACAGGGCAACCGACAGGTTAGGACCAGTAGCCAGTTGTGAAAAGCCAAGGTGAAATCTTCATTCTTTATTAAAAAGTGTGTTTGATCTGGATACAAAATATGAGTTTCAAAATTCCCTTGGAGTGAACCTGCTATTAAAGACAGGTTAATATGTAACTTTATGCTGAAATGTTTTTTACTGAGCATGTCTATGAATATGCAGTAGCATGTGGGAATTTGTCAGGAAAAGTATGCAAAGAATCTTTCTTAAGCAGAAAATATTTTCTGTACTTTTGGAAAACTCCTGAAACACTTAACTATTTGAGGGATGAATCTAAGTGTTATGAGTTCTAAAATCAGTTTAAAGATAACTTTGATCTCATCACTATTTAGCTTTCATTTAAGTTTTATTATTAGAGATTTTAATCAAAATTGCTTTTAATTTTTCTGCCATAATTTGAGTCTTTCAGTAACTGTGGACAGGGGAATCTTACTTGAAATGTAGTCCTGAGGTCTGAAATTTAGTTGTCATTATTGCAAAAATTTCTAGTTAACTGAATAAGCCATCTTACAGAAAGATGGAAGTCAAGGTGAATTATCTTTAATTCTGATATAATTCTAGTTAAAAGGATTTTTTTTCCTAATACGAGTGTGAAGGACAAAAACACTGATACATAAGCAAAAGCATAGTATTACAAATGCAAGAAAATCACAAAAATACCTGAGTTTACCTGAAATCATACTTTTAGAATGAAAGAAAGCAATTCATGTTAGTTTTTGTCTTTATCTTCACAGTATCTATATATATCACTTATACCTAGCAAACTTGTTTAAGAATGTTTTGAATACACTTTTGTCTTGTGACATTGACAAGTATTATTCAAGCTGGGACCTTGAGTCTATGAACAATGTCCTCGTGTTTCATTTTCTGCAAATGCAAACGTGTCCCACAGTGTTGCAGTGTATGTACTGTGAAGTGTTTGAGACCCCAGTATTATGGCAGATGGAAGAGGGGAGGGTACTTGAGACATCCTTCTACTGGGCTATATTAAAGGACACTTTATTGCCTGAACACTTGCGTTGTTGCAATCCACCCTTTACTCTTAAACAATGTTGCTTTTGGTGGCTTTGGCAGGAGAAGCTTTATTGTTCTGTGTTTAAAGATCTTATCATGTAAAAGTAACCAAAGCGTGTAAGTTCTCTCATAACTTAACTTAATCTTGTGGGCTAATATATTCTCAGCAGGGACAGTATCAGGAGAGGCTGAAATCAAAGGTCGTTTGGTAGTGTATCTACAGATAGGCAACTTTTTTTTAGGTACAATGCGAAGAATTATATGGTAAGAGTAAATGATAGAAAAGTAAAAATCTAGCTTATTTGTGTAATGCAGAAGGTTCCCAAATCTGTCTTGATTGAGGAGTTGAGTTCTGGCGGCAGAGGTTCTAGGTTCAGTCTTGACCAACTGCTTTAGGAACCCCGTTTTGGGCAGCAGCATACTAACTACCTCCTTGTATACTTCAGTTGTATTGCCTTTTTCAGGAAACGTGGCAACCTAGCATTTTTGTAGTTTTTCGTTTTTATGTTTTTACACTGTAAATCTTCATGGTAAGGAAGTTAACTTTATGATAAGTGAGATCTTTTTCAAGTGCCGTGCCCATAATTTAACTTCAACTAAATTCTGTATGCTTCCCTACTGGGAAGGGCTGGGGGGAGGGAGGAATCAGGAGGTGCAGGCTCAATTTAAAGATTAAGTAGTAAAGCTGAGATTTTTAATGTGGAATTTTTTTAATTTAAACCTTAAGTTAATATATAAGCAAAATGATCAAACCTTCAAAATCCCTCATTTCTTTGACGGGTAGGAACTTAACTATGTTCTTCAGAGTCTATGTGCATGTTAAGTTGTTATGCACTGTATGTGCTTAACAGTGTAAAAATTATTCATCTTTTATCATTTTTTTCCTAATATCTCTTAAAAGTATACCTGTGGGCCGTTGACTATAATGTCTTAGAAGTGTCTACAAGTGAATGAACTCTATTGTACTCACCCACCTGACAAAGCAAAAGAATGGTTACTTCTGCTGCTGCTGGTCTTCCCTTAGTAGAGCTTATGTCTGTAATGTTGCTGGCTTACTAGAACAGATTGTTACCATGGTGCATGCCTGTAGCAACAAGGGGTATTCGTGTCAGGTTTTCATTGAAGGTCTTTTGTGGAAGAGATGAAGATCTGTTCAGCTGCAGATTATACTTGTTCTGGAACTGCTGTATGAACATTTTAGAGAAGACAAGTGCTCAATATGGTTAATAGTATATTTTTTTCTTAACTTCTGTGCTTCTGTCCTTTCAGCTGAAGTTCAGTTAGCACTTCCATTCCTAAAACTGGTGCTAAAACCTGTTTCTTACAGGGCAGCCAAAAGATGGTACTTTGCCAATGCAGGTATAAGAGATGCAGTGTGTGCTATAGTAATGTGTTGTATCTTAAAAGGCTATGTATGACTAATGTGCAACAAACACTAAGTATTGCATGATCGTCATGAAAATTTTTTCCAGGGTTGGGTTTTAGTAGTCATGTGGTAATGCTCTTTGGCTATGTAAGAAACACATGATTCTATTCTGAAGTTGCGAGAGCCCAAGTAAATGTAGCAAAAAATCATACGATTTGGACTCTAATGAAAAAGTTAACTTTGGGTCAACGGATGAGCAAGTTGCGGTGCTGGCATAATGTGATTTTGGAACAGAGATAAACACCTGATAGTTTCTGTTGTATTGGCTGGTAAAGCAATCTTAGGTAGGGTAAGAGAAAAATCAATCTGTAATCCTGAGAAGCTGGAGCCACAAAAGTACTAAAAGTATTTATGCAAGTACGGTCAGCTCCTGTTGCAGAGGAAAGGAATCTATTCATTTTAGCTAATCATGCTCAGTAGCATATATTTATTTTAGTGTTTGGAGTGTGTCAGGATTCTCCTTGAATCTGTGATTAATTTTTCTTTAGGGGAATGTAGCAAAGGCAGCTTGAAATGTATTAAGTTTATGCCTTTGGGGCAAAATGGCTTGAGGTGTCTGGCTTAAAACAAAAAACTTTTTTTTTTGTAAGCTACTTTCTGTGCAGTTTAATGTGACTGGCAGAGTAAGCATTACCAGTTTGTTTTTCTACTCTTTTCAGTATAGCAAAATTGCTTGAAACTGGTGTTCAGTACATTTTCCCCCATAGTTAAAGACCCAAATAATGTAATGAAAGTAAGGTTGAACATGTGTGTTGAAAGATTTAATGTTCAATGACAACTTTTCAATTTTTTGTACAACCCCTACTCAGTGTATAGAATACTCTGAACTGAATACCTGATTGAAGCAGAAATTTAAATAAAAAAGGATGCTGTCTTTTGTATTTAAGGTAGTGCTAGATGATACTCTTAGTATTTTGCAATGAGTTACCAAAAAATTTTGCTTTGATCTGAGAGAGCACAGTGGGAAATCAAAGTGCTATAGAGATGGATCCATAGATCACTTCAGTCTTATTCCTTGGTGCTTAATCAACCTTCTTAAGGTAGGTGGTCCCTCTCTCTGGAAGACTTCACCCCATGTGTAAATACAACTTTGACTTTTCTGTGTCCTTTGGTTTTCTCACTTCATAACTTCTCCCACGTATCTTGCTAACAGTCGTGAGTATAAACTCAAAGTGAAATTTGAGTAACTTTACATGGGCACTGCTTTAAGTGATATTCTTAAGTTTACTCTTGTGAGTGAAGAGTTTACTCTTGCACTGAAAACAAAATGCTGATTTTTTTGTAAGGCTAATTTTTCTGCTGCTACTTTTGCCTTTTGTTCTGTTTCCACTGATGATATGTAGGAGAATAAACAATAAGCAGTTACATGCATTTATGTGCTTGTATGTAGGTCTGCATATGTGTATATATGTCTGTATCTATTAGTAAATACAGATCAGATGAACTTAAAACAATCTTCTATGCTTAATTTATAAATTTAATGTTAGTACCACTTAAAATGAATCAATCTATTGAGTGCAGAGTGTCTGTTCATGTGCACTGTATTGTGTGCCCAGAGACTCCTATAGTTCTATAATCAATTGTTTGGGCAACATCTCGTCAATTTTGAGTTCTGCTGCAAATGGTATGCTTTAACTGCAAGGCTGAGCTGTTAATATATCAATTATTCATGTGACTGTGTTAGTATTTATATTCAGGGGAGTATAAATTTAAGGCATTGTGGGTGCCTTGTACTTCACTGTAGAGATGCTGTTATTAATATAGATTTAATTTAGCTGCTGTTTTGTGCAGGTATAGTTCAACAAAAACTATTGTCTGGTTTGCCAGTACATTCTAGTATTTGGCTTAAATGTATTGAATTTTCTCTATTTGTATTTGAAGTTTAAAAAAGTATTCTAGAATACATGTAAGTGATTTGGTAAGAATGCCGGTTGTATAACTTTAAATTTTTGAAAACAGGTAATTCCCGACTAAGAAGCTTGGTAGTATGCAAAAACTTATATTGATTTTGGAATATGACATCACACAAGTGATGTATTTTTTGGTATAAAAAATGAGATAACTGTAATCATAAAGGAAGTTGATATGGTACAACGACTGTTCAGGATATGGCAGACGAAGAATGGGTGTTAACATTTAATAGAGATGCATTTGTTGTAAATTTATTTACTATGTTAATTATCTAAATAACTTAGATGTTAGATCTCTTTAATGGAAAGAAGTCTTGAAGTTGTATGGCTCTTTCCTATATTTATAAATAAGAAATATAGTCTACATGTTGTATGCACTTCTCTAACATGACGTTTTAGCTTGTGTGCGGTGCTGATGTCAGGTTGCTGTATAGCATCTGGCTCTGGGTATAGGGTTTGCTATTTTACAGTGCAGAGATGGCTGTGGTTTCAGTAGCTATAAAGGGCTGTATTTTCTGGGATTATACAGTCTCTGTATGCTGCTTTGGTCGAATTTGAGAACCCCAGATGATGTATTATCCTGCAAGCCTGTGATTTCTTCCCCAGAGGATCAGGCCAGATTTTGTAGACTTAGTAAGGAATATTTGTGTTGGTGGCAGTTTGAATTCCATCCTTGATGGAGTACCAGTATGACTGTGCCATGGAAGATGGTTATCACTGCAAATCTTAATCTCCTCAGTTTAAAGTATTTCCCTTGTGTCCAGTAAATTGTCACCTTTAAAGATTAAAGATATAAATAAAAGGCAGTGGGGTATAGAAAGCCGAATGTAGAACAAGTTGTGCGGCAACTGCAGTCTTGTACTGTATTTTACTGGCATTTATGGCTCTTATTTACTGGTCAGTCAAAGTGAAATTCAGTGCAGGTCAGTTAAGCAGATGTCTTTCTGAATTGGGTTTGGAGAAAACTAAAAAGAAACTATTACTACAAGAAACAGAACACAAAGTCACTTAACTTTCCAACTTTGGGTTGTGTTTTATAATGAAATTTAGCAAGGAATGCTTCAAGTCAGAGGAAGGTTTGAATCACAAGGTTAAGAACGAGTTGTTACTCTAGACCTATGTTTTTCATACTTCACTGACAGCCAGCCTTTGTTTATCAAGCTAATTGTTTTCTGAAGTAATCAAGGCTACTACTTGATATCTTTAAGGCAAGTATTTGGAACTTTTACTTTGAGAGATATACTTAGTCATGTTGCTCATATCTATATTGAATTAGACAACTGTAGTGAACAGTATGAGTCTCAGGCTTAAGTCAGGTTGAATGCTGAAGCTTTTGAAAAAGATAACAGCCAAGGTGTGTAAAGGTGATGAACTAGAAGTATATTCTGTTTGTATTTTTTTGAAGACATTTGACAGGTACAGCTATAATCTATCAAAAAAGACTTAGCAGTTAGAACGCATTTAATCTTGTCAACGTTATAGAGACTCTGAGCTTTAAAATCTTAAGCGTGATGGACCTAAACATGGTAGACCAAGGCACTTGGAGTGGTAAACCTGATAGATGACAGAGATGGTTCTGTTCAATTCCAGAGCTCATTACTCAGTGCTAAGGTGCTGCCAGCAAGAAAATCTGTTTTCCTTTTTTACTATATGGATATAAGACAAAATGTTAGGTGGTTTTACTATTTATTAAATACTGCAGGTGTGGTTAACTGACCTTGGTTATGTGCCAGGGTCATGGTTTAGTCAATGTGTTCTTTATTTAATTGTTTGAAGGTGTATGGTTTTTACCATGATATGATGACATGTACAGAATATTTAATGCAGTTTTCTATATCTGATAAAGGCAATAAGAAGGTAATTTTCTGTAGTTAGTTGAAATCTGATGTTCCAATCCAATGTGTTCTTAAAGTACTATGTTTTGGAAATTATAATGTAAATTTTTACTTTTATGTTAGGAAAAGCTAAGGTTGCATTGCAAAAAAAGGGGTCCAGATGACAGGTTACACTTTAGACTCCATTTATTCCATAGCTTAAGTATTATCATAAATATTTTTCTGACATACTCTAAATGTAAATGACTAGATTGTGTTTCTAGAATGATTTAAGTTTAGTTTTTAATTAAGACTTCTTTATTTAAACTACTGTAAATTTAAATTTTTATTTAACTGTACCCAAGACTTGAAAACAAAGGTAGCTTTTAAACTAAACTTGCCCTTTGCCCTTCTAGGCAGATGTATTTTCACCTGTTCACGTGGGGTCAGAGATTGTTTTTTCAAAAATATTTAAAAGTTTACATTCACAAATACAAATTAAGTTTTAGTTGTGTACATTTTTACTTTATGAAAATGAATTAAGTTCGTAATAAAAAAAATCACATAGCATTTCCAAAAATATCTGCTATATGTTAAGGTAACAATTTCCACCTTAAATCATTTTAATATTTAACAGTAATAATTGAACTTAATGGATTGTGTCTGGACAGCATGGACTCAGTTTGAAAAGGAATGTAAGAATTCAAGATGAGTTTCTGGTGTGATACTTCAAAAGTGGGTTCAGAGTGAATTTTTTTTTAAATCATGTTCCCTTGGAGACTTCGTAAAACCTCCCTTGTCCTACGTTCTTAGTATGTTTAAATATCCCTGTCCATCAAATGCTTTGAAAGAATTCATCTCGGTCTGCTCTGTGTTCTATTAGAAATCTAGATTTTTTTTTTCAAGTTCAACTCTGTGTAGATTTTTAATGAACTAATTCAGGTTTAAGAAAGTACTTTTATTACGTGCTGTCTAAATGGAAGTGAGAATTAGTGTAGGAGAAGACAGGAGAGGCCTTCCCATGCAAATTTAAGCAGAAAATACTTGTATTTGAAAAATATTAATACTAACAAGTGATGACCATAATGATTTGTCAACAGCATTTTCATATTAATGGTGCATGTAAAACTTAGTATCTCATTTTAAGTGTTTTCCTCTCTGATTATCTATATAAATTAAAATCAGTACCTTTAACTTATCAGTACTTGAGGATTCATTAATCTATTGAATTTTTATATTATTTTTATTGATGAGATGGTGTCTTTACTCCTGTATGTGGCTTCCAGTCCTATTTTAAAAGATTATTTAAAAACTCTTGAAATGTATTTTAAAATCCTGTTTCAGTTTACCCTTTCAAAAGCTAATGGATAGGTTCTGTTTTTTAAAAAACTTTAAATCTTTCATAAGCCAACCTATTTTCGGAGAAATGGTTATTGAAGCTGATACTACCTTCATTACTCCTGTTGTGTCTATAGTTTTTTACAAGGTTTTATTGTTGCTTTTTTGTGAGACAGAAGTATTTTTAACTTCAAATCAGGTAAGAATTTTATGTTCATTGATCTTAACCCTTTATAATTGTATTTTATCTTCCTTTTACAGATGGAATACCTCAGGTCTACTATTTTGGCCCATGTGGCAAATATAATGCCATGGTGCTAGAACTACTGGGACCTAGTTTGGAAGATTTATTTGACTTGTGTGATAGGACATTTTCTCTTAAAACTGTTCTTATGATAGCCATCCAGCTGGTAAGTAAAATACAGCCATGCATGTTGTTTTGAATGTTCATTAGAATACTAGGTCAGTTTTTGAAAGACTAAATGCACGTTTGACTTGCTGAAGACTTGTATTTTCCATGATTTAAGTTGCTGTTAGTGGTATTTGAGTCTTGTAAAGAGCCTGTGGTAGACATTTTTATCAGGAAGACCTTACACATGTTACTTTCCTTGCCTTTTGTTCTAGTTTTTCCAAGAATCACTGTGTGAAAATAGTATCGTTGTATTCTGAGTTCTCATATTTAATCACAACCTGAAATCATGAATTCTAGTATTTTTTTAGTTAAAAGCAAAATCTTCTTGATATACAAATACTTTTAATCTATTAAAGTGGTTGGATGATGGGGATTCTTAAATAACATTTTTTCCTGGATGTTCTCAGACATAAAGAAAAAAATTTGAGAAATACTAACATGGTACAAATTACTCAAGATTTTTTCATGTTTTTTGAAGTATTTCACGGTATACTTTTCACTTGAGTACAGAGAGACAAAGCTTTGTGTGTTTGTTTTGGTGCAATATGTTTTTAAGTCTTTCTGAAATATTAAAGATCCAGAGCCTCCTCTTTAAATATTGGAAGAGTTCTTCCTCGTGAAGGGTAAGAATATCCATAGAAAGCACTTCCCTAACTGCATAAAACAAAGGTCTGAAACTAGCATTCAGCTTATTTAGGGCATTTATAAATAGTTCATTTTTAAATCTGAAATCATCACAGATCTGAAGTCATCATTAATAATTGCTTTTCCTTTCCAAATACATGAACTTTAATAGGAAGTGATACACCTAGAAAGGAAGTTATGTGGATACTGATGACTTTCTAGTACTTCTTTATTTTGCCATCTACATGGAGCTTTATTGCTTACAGCTTGATGACATTTCTGGTTATAGTTTTAATGAGCACAGAAGCTTGTTGCCGGATCTCAAAAATGATCAAGTTTTGTGACTTGTTATATAGTGATTCATGTCTGACTTCAAGCGTGAAAAGTTTTCTGTACGTGGTGCAGTGTATCCACTCAAGGCGCATGTGCCATTTTCACAAACTTTATCTGGGAGTTGCCATGGTAAGAGCAATAGCCCTTTGATTTTAAAGTTAAGAGGGTAATACCCTCTAAATATAAAGCTAATGTAGAAATAAGTAGCTTCTACCACAATTTCATGTGGCAATCTGAAGCTTAAACTAAACTTTCTGTCGTTTTTTCCTTTTATTAAAGATTTCTCGTATGGAATATGTCCATTCAAAGAACTTGATTTACAGAGATGTAAAACCCGAGAACTTCTTAATAGGACGACCTGGAAACAAAACCCAGCAAATTATTCATATTATAGATTTTGGTTTGGCAAAGGAATATATAGATCCAGAAACAAAGAAGCACATACCATATCGAGAACACAAGAGCCTTACAGGAACAGCTAGATACATGAGTATAAATACACATTTAGGAAAAGGTACGTGTGCTTTTTAAGTGCAGAAACAAAAATTCAACAGCTGTCATTATTTGTGTAAAATCATCTTGTTTTCAAGTTGTAATTTTTCTCAACAGTCTGTAGTCATTAAGAACTGAAGTTTCCTGAACTGTGCAAAATTATAGTTCAGCTTCATTAAAATATCATTTATGGGAATAAGGTACTCTGGGTCTCTAGTCATCATGGTCATGTCTCAGCAAATAGCTACAGTATTTACATTTAGATCTTTGTAGAAGAAAGATGAGGGTTTTTTTGTGCATCATAACTTCACATTAGAAGTATCCCAAGTTTTTAAATATGTATTTAAAAAAAACAGTCAAATGTCACTGCATGGTAAAGACTTAATAGAATGCTGCTTGAATCGGTGATCATGTTGCGCAATGCTTATAGTTCAGAAGTACTTCATGTTAAGATGGCAGATGTGAAACCGTCGACTTTTTCCTAATAGCAATAAGGGAGGGATTTTTATCAGTAAAATCACACACTTGCAGCTTATATAGAGAGCTGTTGTAGCTGAAGAAATTAAGTTAAAAACATGTGGTTTAATTTCATCTATTTTTCAAAATGTAATCTTGAGATTCCCCCAAGAGGCTAATCATGCACACATGCTCAGCCTTTTCCCTTTTTTAAAAAGGAGTTACCTTGTTTAAAGGTACAATTTTATACCTAACAATGTGGGACTCATCTTCCTATTTCTGCTTTTTCTTTTCAGTTCAAAATTTATATTTTTATGATAGGAGAACAGAAATTGCTCTTGGTTCCTGCTTCAGTCTCAAAATAAATCAGATTGAAAGACTTGTCTTTCACATGTACTTATGCTGGCTTCAGATATGCCTTTTCCACGAAAACGCAGAGGACAACACTTAGTGTTCAGTGTGTTTCATGGCAAGTGTAGACCCATCTTTACAACATGACCTTCAATAGTGCTTTAGTACAGTAAACTTGGGGAAATTTGCAATATCTCTAGGCAGGTTAAAGAATACAGAGTTCTTTCAAATTAAACAAAAAATGCAGATGTTCAAAACAGAAGACTTCAAGTAGGTACATTTAAATGATGATGAAGAGGTAATGTTTTTGTTGACTGTTCCAAAGAGTATTGATTTTAAAATGGCCAGAGTTTACTTTCTCATTTTAAATGTTTTGAATTGTGGTATCACCCGACTTGCATCTCTGCATCCTCTGGCTACTTTTTTTATACAGTGCAGCTGAAGGGTTTCATTTTATTATGTGCAAACCAATTCTGCTGTTCAGGCCAGACTTTGGCATGGATTAGTCTTGCTTTCTCCCATAGATTCCCAAAGCAGCCTCAAATTTCTCTTTGAAGTAGGGAGAAAGAGGCAGGTATATATATGCCTGTTAGATATCCAAAAATAAGATCAGCTGTGTGTATCTCCAGATAGTTAGAAGTTTATAGTCAGAAATAACTGAATCAGACAGTTGCTGAAAGGCTACCCTAATTACATCTGGTAAGAGTTACAGTTGCATACTGTTCTTCACCTACATCTAAATAACTTATTACATACTTGCACAGTTTCAGAGAAGTGGAAAAAAAGCTGCTATTTAATGAATAACTGCCTTGCCTTTATATTTGATACCTGTTTTCTGGAGTCGGTCTTGAAGTTGCTTTTTAAAAATCTCTTTGGTAGTCCTGCCTCTTTGAAACATCTTCACGGGCTGGTTAACTTCCTTAAATATATGTTCAAAGGGGAAGTTCTAAAAATAAGATATAATATTAGTTGCTTCCCTTTTTAAAAGTGGGAAATTGCACTTTTCTGCTCTCTTCTCGGTTTTTTGGATTTGCCTCTATAATGAGTGTTCAGTTAAATACTTGAAATTTCTACTGAATGGTTGAAACACTGGTGTGTGTGGTTCCTGGCACTTACACATCAGGAATGCATGTATTTAAAAAAAAAAAAAAAAAATTGCTTGCCAAAAACAAGCATGTGGAATATAACTAGGCCTTGTGAAAAGCATCTGGGATGCTTAGCTCTAGGAGCATCTTGGAATATAACTTGTTTGGCTAAGTATACTAAACAGGTTTATATGTAATGAAACATCTGTGAAACAGTTATCCAGTCTACTTTTTTTAGCCTAAGGCCTTATACGTAAGCAGAAGCTAATCAACGTACTCAGTTTAACTGAGTCATATTGTAGTTGAACTGATAACATGAGATGGGTGAGAAATACTTTCCTTTAGCTGGCAAGCTGAGCCTTGGTAATTTGGGGGGACTTTTTTCTCATAAATCTTCCAAGTTTTCATATGTAGATTCCATGACAGTGTGTCCTTCTCCAAGCTTTTCAACCTCGGAAATCTGTCAGTGCTTGTTGTGCTTTTCCACTCAGTTCTTCACTTAAGCAATATTTTAGCCTCTAAAGTAAGAGGCATAGTGAAAGATATATTAATGCACACTTTGCATAATCAGTGTTTGAAAACACAAAATACAGAATTAAAGATGCAAATTACCATGTTTGAAGTTTGTAGTTTTAAAGATTACTTATTAGTATTCATTCTCAGTAGTTTATTCTTTTTGTTTAAGTAGAATACAGTGGTAAGAAGTTCAAAAATGTACAGTTTTTAATAGCTTATATTTGAATTGATGGAAGTGAGTTTTACAAGATATGTGCCAGTTTACTGTAGGGTCTGAATGATAGCATACAACTCCCAGTGTCTTAGCACATTAAAGTTGGACCACTTAAGATGGTGCTTACCTCTAAAAGGAAGGATTCATGGCTGGTAGTAGTCATGGGAAGGAAGACCAAATGGCTGATAAAGGAAGTTATAAACTGTTATTGATCTCAGCATTAGATTAACCGAACCTTGAATTCAGTTTACTGAAATTAGACTGCACTGCAGCCAGCTATGTTTCAGGGGCTGCTTCATGAACTGTTCAGTTACCCCTAGTACAGGCCAAGAGTTTTGTGGTGTAAGGGGGAAGTAGACTCTCTTCAGCTGGTCTGACTTTCCTCTTCCACAGCATGTGAGCTAAAATCTCCAAGGTGATTTGGTTTGAGACTTGCTGCTTCAGAGCTGACAGCAATCTTTGCTTTCCAATCTCTAGCTGTGTGTGTGTTTTGGGGGAGCCTTTCCTTATCTCAGCTGATACTTCAAAGTTTCAGAATATTACCCTCATTGTTTTGTGCTGCTTGAAGTGCTGACTTGGGACTCAAAGTGTCTCAAAACTGAAAGGTATTGGGTGTGTGTTTCAGTAGCGGTCGGTTTAAAGATCAGCATCTGCATCTGCCATAGCATCATGGCCACTGTTGTTCCTTTCCTGATTGCAAAAGTGTTTGGAGACCCTTGGCAACTGCAGGAAGATCCCATTGGTGGGCCACTAATCCTCAAAGAGGTACAGAGCAGAAAATGTTTCCTACTTTTCTTCCATGTTAGATTGTGACTGTTCAGTTAACTACAGCCAGAAGTTTGTCAGGTGGATTAAAGGATTATTCATGACCTTGTTGATCTAACGTTTGTTAGAGGAGATGGTCATGACCTCAAATTCATTTTGTTATCATATTTGGGTTATATAAAATAGGGAATCTTTTTCCTTTTTCTTTTTTAGTTGGACTGTTTCTGCAAAGGTTTTGAGACTACTTCTGAGGACTGACCTAGTGGAAAATTTTTTGGCCTTTTACGCACACTGGAAATGAAATACAGTATGACAACTTTATTTCAGCAGTTACTTTAGTGTTTGAAATAGGGAAACTTATTTTCATCTTCAGCAATATTTACTAGAGTGCTACAATATTTTCTAGTTAAGAGCACAAATGACGAATTTCTCACTTTTCCAGAGGTCTTGTCAGCATTGTTGCGTTAGTGGGTTTTGAACTTCTTGATCGGAAGCTGCTTGGAAACTAAAATAGGTGTAGAAGTGTATTTCTAGTGTTTAGGTATAATGAAGACTCCTCCCATCCACTCACCATCCAAAAAGTGTTTAAAGATGAAATTGGGACCTTGATAGACTTGTCTACAAGGATAATACAAGGATGTGTAAAATAGTAACTCAGCTATTTTAAGCTTGTCATATTTGCTAGATCTACTGTTCTTAACCAGGTAAAGATTTAAAAGACTGCATTGTATTTATGCCATATTAAAGACAAACAGCTTTAAGATTAGATGAAGAGATTTTTCATGCTAACAGAGCATGAATATTTCCTATATAATATCATGAATATTTAACACTAGACAGGAACATTTTTTTTAAAGCTTTGTAGCAGTGTTTGAACTTCCTAAATATAATTTTTAGAACATAAGTTCCTCAAGTAAAGGGAGCAGTCACTTTATTTTTCATTCATGATGTATTGGGTTGAGATCAACCTAAGGTAACACAATCACTTTTAAAATTAAATGAGCCTTAGTCCTTAAATAACATACCTCCTACCTTCTGTTGTATCACTTAAGAAAATAAATCAAAGCTGGTAACTAATTGGAGAACCAATGAATTTTGAAGGGATTTCATGTTTGGTATTACAATGGTAACCTAGTAAATGACACTTCTCCCTGACCCAAGGGAGGGCCTCTTCTGCTCCTTAGGCAGAATCTTGTTTGCTGATTGGATGGGTTTATTTTCATTTAATGGTTCCTTAACCTTTAAAGCAGCCTGTGTGCAAGTTCTGTCAAATTTAACTACCATGTTATGGATATGCTTATGCCTCTCAACTATGATATAGAACTGAGAATGTGGGTGGGTGTATACTACTAACCCCTCTGGCTGGTTAGCTGTGACAAAGCTAATACTCTTTAGTAGTAAGTCTTGCTTCACTGTAGTATGTCTCCTTCTCAAAGATATAGGCAATTCATAAATGTAAGCAGAAAAAGTGAGTCTGAACCTTAGGGTTCTCTCCGCTCAGAGCGGTGAGCGAGTCTGATCTGACTTCCTCTCGATTTCAGTATTTTTCAGGCATTTCATGGGTGATGGAGAATTATTAGTCCTGTAATCTCATAGGCTTCTAATACACACTGAACAAAGTGAATGAGGCTTTTA